ATATATATATATATATATATATATATATATATATATATATATATATATATATATATACATACATATATATGTATATGTATGCATATACGTGCTATTGACTGAATAATTTGGGTCAATTGGTGCTCAAAATAATAATAAATAAATTATAAAAACAAAAATTATATTTTTAGATTGAAGTTTTTTGTATTTCTTTTGGTTTCTGCTGCAGCAGCACAGCCCCGGTATTCACGTTTCAGGTGTATGCGCAGCTTGTCAGTCGCCTGGTGTCTAGGGTTTGTTTGTGTTTATTTCTCTGAATATATAGATTATTTTTCATAATTTATTTATTTAAATTGTATATATTAATTTATTTTAAACAAATAATGCTGGTTTCCTTCTAGTTTTACGGTGTATACACTACCCTGGCCACCAGGGCAGTCTATATACGCCTGCGGTATTATGTAGGGAGATGTAGAGAGAAATAAAGCGAGAAATGCTTTATTTTTTATTTTTTATATATTTATTTATTTTCCTTTTTAAACCTGCGGCTAGCATCTCTTGAAAGCTGCACAATGAGCCCCCCCTCTCCCCCCTCTATCAGTGAGTGCCGGGGTGTATGTACACCTCAGCCTGCAACCACCGCTTCCTTCCTTCTGCCTTTGCTTCATTTTTAATTTATTTTTAATTCTCTACTGCTCCCTTTCTCTTCTGTATTCTCTCGCCCCCTCGGCTCATAGTTCTCTCAGCTGCATCCCAAGCTCTGCAGCTGTTTCCTGCTTGCTGCTGCGCTTGCTGCTGCTGCTGCTGCTGTTGCTGCTGCTGCTGCTATAACTGCCCCTGCTGCTGCTGCTATTGCTGTTTGTGCAGGTCCGCCTCGCGGCTACTTTTTGCGTCGGCGCCATGTGAAGGCTCGAGAGCCGGGAGACGGCAGCAAGCAACAGCAACCAGCAGCAGCAGCAGCAGCAACAGCAACAGCAGCAGCAGAAAAAGCAGCAGCAGCAACAGCAGCAGATGGACGAGTTGAAGAGAGAACACCGGTAGGGGATGCCCCCGCTACTCTCCAATCGTCTTCTCAGCCGTATGCGTCGAGTACCAGCAACAGCAGCAGCAGCAGCAGCAACAGCAGCAGCAGCAGCAGCAAATGCAGCAGCAACAACCGCCGCCGCCGCAGCAGCAGCAGCAGCAACAGCAGCTTGACAGGGAACCATACCCCTCTAGAGAGAGAAACTACTTCAGGATCTGCTGCCTCTTGCGACAGCATAAACTCTGCTGCAGCAGAAGCAGCAGCAGCAGCAGCAGCAGCAGCAGCGAAAACAGCAGCAGCATCAGATGCTGTTGCAGCAACAAATAGAGTTTCAGTAGGCGAGCGGCTGCAGCAGCTGTTTGCTGCAGCAAAGCGATTTCTGTTTCCTTCTCAGTTTCATGGATTGCTGCTGCTGCTGCTGCTGCTGCAGCTTCTCATGCTTGGGTTTCTGCTGCAGCAGCAGCACGAGCTGCTGCAGCAGCGCGAAGCAATGCAGCAGCAGGCGGTGTACGGACAGCTGGTATTCGAGCAGCAGCAGCAGCTGCTGCTGAATAGCCGCCGCTCTCGCATAGGTGTCAAGCGGCAGCAGCAGCAGCAGCAGCAGCACCAACAGCAGCAGCAGCAGCAGCAGCAGCAGGAGAATGCTGGGGCGAGTGAAAGCTGCCGCTGCAGGCCTTGTGCTCGTGTTCGTCTTTCTGAGGGTTTAATAGATATTAAAGATAGATATAAACACACAGAAAAAGAAATACAGATTGCTGTCGATACATTCTTGCGGTGTATAGACACCGCAGCTGCTGCAGTAAAGGGTGTACATGAAGAGATGCAGCGAGCTCCCTTTAGAATGAAAATGTAAAACACCATATATATATATATATATATATATATATATATAT